CATTACAATTTAAATTCAACGTTTTAGCTTTTTCATATTCCTTTACAAGTCACTACGTTTAAATAGGTTGACTTGGGACATTTTTTTCGTGGTGTTTGTATTAGACCCGTCGTCCATTTATTTGTAAGTCAATGTATACCAATGATTTTTTTTTATATCAACTGAACTAAATAGAGCACGTATACTACACGATATACAGTTTTGTAAAGTATACTTTGAAAAGAATCTACGATTACTGGTACCGGAGCGACGAGATCATTCAGTAAGGCCTTCATCGCATCGTAGATTCACCTGTCCGATTACTTAGCAAGCATTTTTACTGCTCCCACAGCGACTAAGCCACGGCAATAAACAGAATGTTTTTTTTTAATGGGACAGTATGGGGAAATACGAAACCATCGACGATGCAGATGAAAAAATACTTTATTAAATTTGACCAACTTGTGCTGTCCCAATTTTTTTCTTTCACTACAATGAAATGATCCTTATAAGAAACTGAGTTTATTAGCATTAAAAAAATTAGTGAGTTTTATTTATTTTGTGCGAAAAAATATTTTACGACATTTGACCAACTTGTGTTGTCCCGATTTTTTGTCCCATACAACGGAATGATCCCTTCATGAAACTGATTCGATCAGCATTAAAAAAATTATGGTCAATTTTATTCATTTTTATGGACAACTCACGCTTGACCAAAAAATTGACTACGCCAAAATTGTTTTCACAAAACTGGTTCTTAAGATAGTTTCCTTGTATCTTCTATGGTTTCGGATTACATAAAATTATAATTCTAAAATATACATCAAACAAATTCCACAAATATTTTGTTAGGTTTTTAATTGTTAAACCAATTAAAAACCTGTCTGTGATATCATAATGACGATTTGATGATGCTATTCTATTAACAAGGGTGTTAAGTAATCTTCAAATGTAATATTTATTTCTTATAAGTCGATTGGTAAATTTTGTATCGCTAAAATCTTTTGTAATTCCATATTTATAAATATTGTATAATAAAGACATACGACGGAGTGCTTGCACATCGCTTTTCATCTTAGACTATGGAAACTAAAGGAAATGTTATTTTGACATATATAAATCAGACGTTATATGTATATGCATTTCGACGTCGAAAACATAAACATGTTATTGTCTTTGTTTAACCATTGCGTGCCGTCTTAAGCCAAAAGAGATAGCATTAGGGGAAAGGTGTACGAGATGATCCTTGGAGGTAAGATGATCCTTCTCAATTGTAGCGAAACTAGTGCCCTCTCATCAGTCAATTCGTAATAGCGATGTGGGTTACGAATTCATTTTTGTGGAAAAAAACAAAAATTGTGTGAGTTTGATCTAAGGTAAAGTTGATTAAAAGCTTAGGCAACTTCCATTCTAAGCAATCAATTGCTAAGCTTTTTGTGTAGGTAGCTTTGTATAATGCTCTATTTTTTTTTTAATGACGTGGTAACATTATACGGTATACAGGTTATTTTGTAAATAAGTAAATTGGGGCAAGATGATTATGGTTTTGGTGTACGAGATGATCCGTGGGGATCATCTTGTACTGTATATGTTGTTAACGAATTATATTTAATTTGTATGTTTTTCTGAGTACCTACTGAAACGTCTTAATTAAATAGCTTGCAATACGAATAAAATAGTAGAAGACTGGATTTCGTTTACAAGATCGATCTCGGTTAGTGACAAATATAAATGCTTTTTCTTGTTTTAGACCAGGCCGCGTAATTGTAAAAGAGAAACCATTCGTGGTGGGTGGTCGGAAGACTACGATCTAAAGAACTAGAGGCGTAAAAAGTAGGACGCCACATAGATCGGCAAGTAAATAGTTAGCAGTAGAAACGCGTTATGTCACTAAAAATTCGGGCTAAAGGTGAAAATAAAGGGTCTGTCTGTTCAATGAAATATTTAGGTGAAAAAAAAACTGTTTTCATCAGATGTGTTAAACAGGATTCCGAGCTCGTAAAGTACATTAAAGATATTGACACAAGGATGGATATCAACTTGCCATAAGAGACAATGTCTACACGACTCTAAAACTAGACTTCGACACACGCGACTCCGACATTAACTTACGTCGACATGATTTTACTCAGACACTACGCTACATCGACAACACAGACGAGGTGTTAATTAAAAAAAAATCTTTATATTCTGATAAGAAAAATCATCATCAATTGTCATCCCCTACATTGGTCTGTGTCAAACACGGGAATCGAAAATACGTAACGTCATCTTAAATGCCAACTGTGTCCATTTCGCACTACATGAGGTACATGCTTTTCCATAGTATAGGGCGAAAAGCAATACTTTTTGACATTGACTTACAATTATATGGACGTCGGGTCAGCGCTAAAAAGTGTCGGAACTTATAGGGCGTTAAAATCGTATACAGAGCGTCATTCACGCTTTAGTCTTCGTTTGTTCGACTGACAGCGAAGCAGGCAAAATTAGACAGTACTGCGATGACATTACAATTTAAATTCAACGTTTTAGCTTTTTCATATTCCTTTACATGTCATTACGTTTAAATAGGTTGACTTGGGACATTTTTTTCGTGGTTTTTGTATTAGACCCGTTGTCCGTGTATTTGTAAGTCAATGGAAGTTACAAAATAAAATACACAATACCCAAATTTGCCTAATTAAAATAGTGAACTGAAGCGAAAAAGCGTGCGCAGCTACACAGGATCGTTTTTAATTAATTTTCAACGTTACCATACAATACATTTTCGTACTGTGTCGACGGCACATCCTTGTAATAATGATTTGGGTAAAATTGGTACCAGCAAGGTTTTAAAAGTATAATAATTGATGACATTTTATTTCATTTCTTTTTGCTTATAATTCATTTGACTGTGTATTTTAATTAATTTTTATGATTAAATTTAAATCTATGACATTCAAACACAATTATTGTTAACATAAAAATTATTGAACTGAATTCAAGACACTACTCTTTTAACTTGGAATTAGCGCAGGTCCGCTCCTATGGCGTCTTTTTTCAGTAGGCCAACCCAGATGGGCCTTATTCTCGTTCCGAGCCTCTCCAATTCTTTTTAAATGGCCGAGCCAGCAAAATCCGTGTGCTTTAGTTTCGACTATGACGTTTGGCTGGGCGACGACCTCTCCAAATAAATAAATACTAAATATTTTTGTCAATTCTTCATGTTATATTTTCAGACGATGGCTACTCACTCTTCGCCTTCCACGGCAAGCTCAACGAAGAAATGGAAGGCCTGGAAGCAGGTCAATGGTCTCGCGACATTACGAAACCTAAAGAAGGACGATGGATCTTCAAAGACCGAAATGCTCAGCTTAAGATTGGAGACAAGATTTACTTTTGGACTTATGTGTTAAAGAATGGCATTGGATACAGGCAGGATAATGGGGAATGGACAGTTACTGGTAGAGTATTTTTACTTTTTGCCTATAAAACATTTGGCAACAGGAATATTAACATTAATGTGTTAATATTGCAATAAATATCATGCCTCATCTCTAGCCGAGTCTGGTAGCTGTAAAGGTATCTAACTGGGTGACGAAATATCATAGATTTCACATAGATGGCAATACGGCTAAAAAATCGTTGAAAAACCAAATACAAAGATACGACGCAAGCACATATAAACATAGAAAAATTCGTGAGGTCCGCTGGTTCGTTCCGTGGCTTAGTTGGTATAGCGTCTGGCACGGTATGCTAGAAGACGTCGGTTCGAATCCGGCCGGATCGAACCGATGATTTTTCTGAGTGTTCGATCTTTGTATTAACAATTATATCAAACTAGTGGAGTAATTTCACACAAAAATAGTTGAATATCAATCATTGACTTACAATTATATGGACGTCGGGTCCGCGCTAAAAAGTGTCCGAATTTATAGGGCGTTAAAATCGTATACAGAGCGTCATTCACGCTTTAGTATTCGTTTGTTCGACTGACAGCGAAGCAAGCAAAATTAGACAGTACTGCGATGACATTACAATTTAAATTCATCTTTTTAGCTTTTTCATATTCCTTTACATGTCACTACGTTTAAATAGGTTGACTTGGGACATTTTTTTCGTGGTTTTTGTATTAGACCCGTCGTCCATTTATTTGTAAGTCAATAATATCAATGCAATAAAAATTTGAATATGACATATTTTATTCTTCATCTATGCCCTATGCTCACTTGCATATCGGGTGATGGTGATTCATGCCTAAGCGTTAATGCGTTGTGGACGTGTTTTTAAATACCTATAACTACCTACGTTTAATGTACTAACCGCAATGTGTGCACCGCATATTGTTTTACTTGTATTGTATTAGATAGATTGAAACAAATTTATCTTAGCCATGGTAGCTTAATAGCCAAGGCAAAGTTTAAATTGTATTAACAATCCAAAATTTGTTATTTATTTTTAAATTAGGAACTACGACCCATCATTATCAAAATTTCATTAGGAATGTCTAAAGCATAAAATGGGCATAAGGCACTTCCATTGGCCAAAATGTAATCGACACATTTAACGTTTTACTTTAGCCCCCGCACCATATTCCACGCAATAAGGGTCACGTCATCGGATCATTTATCATCTGCTCACGATATGCCATTATGATCGAGCACAACGAGTACATTCATTTTGTCTAGGGTCCAACAGATGATTGAATTAATTTAACCGATTTCAAAAAAGAAAGAGAGATTCTCCATTTGACTACATTTTTTTTGTATGTTTAGAAGGTAAAAACCTACCGCTTTTTGCCACGTATGTCACGTTTGCTGTACTATAGACTGTATGTGTATAGACTGTACCAAAACTGACCCTTTTCTTGGTCGTGCTTCTTGAACTTCAAAAATATAATTGTATCACTTGCTTTAATATCAGTAATTAAGATCAGAATTTTTAACATCGGTGCTACATTTTTTTGGTAAAAACATTTGATTTTAATATTCTCATTAATTAAAAATAAACCTGACAATAGCTCTTTCACTACAACCGCAAAGTTTTTTACAGGTTACGTGGACGAAGCAGGAAATCCTATAAACCCCGATAACCGACCGGAACAAACAGTAGACGAAACATCTGCTGGTGAAACATCTTCTAGTGAAACACCTGCTAGTGAAACATTTGCTGGCGAACCAGTATTTTCTGCACCACCTCCAATACACTCGTCAAGTCCTACAGCATCTAGTCCACCAAGCGAAGGATTCCCTTGCGAGATATCGGAGTCCTTGGTATCAGTGCCAGGATTCGTTTGTAAAGGACAATTGTTGTTTGAGGATAATTTTAACTCAAATATTGCGAAAGGGAAGATTTGGACTCCTGAGATTCGATTTCCTGGAGAGCCTGTGAGTTTTGTAGATTTTTGGATATATACTCTTTTAATTGACAAATAATTCGTGAATGTTAAGAAGATCCCCGACACAAACTTTGAGAATAGTAATAAAAGCTAAGGGCGTAAGAAATCAGGTCCAAATTAAGAATTAGTGTCAATTGAAATCAATAACTCAAGTTAACTCTAAAATTACCCAAACGACTTTTTCTAAGATCTTCCTCGTTGGTAAAAAGATGTTCGATATTTCTCTTTCCAGGATTATCCCTTCAACGTATACCTCAATGACAGAAACCTTCGGGTTAGAGGTGGAAATCTGATCATCAAACCTGTCACTTTGGAGTCCAAGTACGGAGAAGAGTATGTTACGCAGTCTTTGGATTTGACTGCTAGGTAGGTATAATTGTGATAAACTTGAAAAGGTTAATCCCAATAGGGAGCAATAATAATAGATTACTCGGTCCTCATGAATTTGTTGTAAAGGGTCTTTCAACAAGAACTTTGTTTTTTAAACAAAATAAAACAAAAAATTTAGATGAAGATGATTCAAATTTTTATTGTATTACAAAGAGAAAAGTTCGGCAATTATGAATGAAAAATGATATCTGGCAAATGTCCACCACGACCACGCTGACAGAAGTCGATTCTTTCATCAAAATTTTTAATCACTTTTTGGCAAAATGTCGGGTCTTTTTCGGCTATCACATCACGGATTTTGAGTTTTAAGGCTGTAGTCGATTCGATTGGCTTCGTATAGACTCTGTCCTTAAGATAGCCCCACAAAAAATAATCCAATGGTGTTAAATCACACGATCTGGCTGGCCATTTAACAGCTGAATTTCGGGAAATTACGCGATCAGCAAATTTGGTTTGCAATAAATTGATCGTCTCATTGGCTGTGTGACATGTGGCACCGTCTTGTTGAAACCACATGTCAGTGATATCCATGTCATCAATGCTAGGCCAAAATTGAGTTGTTAACATCTCGCGATAGCGTGATCCATTCACCGTTACCGCATTTCCAGCCGAATTTTCGAAAAAAAACGGTTCAATGCCAACGGCACAAGTCACATTGCCACCGAAACAATGAATTAATTTATTGCAAACCAAATTTCCCGATAATTTCACGAAATTCAGCCGTTAAGTAGCCAGCTCGATCATATGATTTAACACCGCTGGATTATTTTTTATGGGGTTATGTTAAAGACAGAGTCTATACGGAGCCAATCGAATTGATTGCAGCCTTAAAACTCACAATTTTTGAAGTGATTAACCAAATAAACCCACCACTTTCTCAAAAAGTGATTAAAAACTTTATGGAAAGAATCGACATCTGTAACTGTGGTCGTGGTGGACATTTATCAGATATCATTTTTCATTAATAATTGCCAAACCTTACTTTTATTAATACAATAAAAATTTGAATCATTGTCATCTAAATTTATTGTTTTATTTTGATTTACAAAACAAAGTTCTTATTGAAAAACCCTATATAAGTAAAGATGAAAAACGGAAAAAAGACTGCAACAATAAAGATCGTATAAAAAAACAGGTACAATATCAAAAAAACACTCCCTACTTAAATACTACGACACATGTGTGAGACAGTAAAGAAGTTACCTCGTACAGGCCGTATTTTAAAAAAATATTTGTTAAGTTACTTGATTTTGAAGATATTAGATAGGCTACCTGATTTAAATCGGAAACTCGTAAACGGATTAAAATTTGTGGTGAAGGCGAGCAACAGTGCTCGCTTGAAACATTAAGTAGAGGGTGACGAAAGAACGAAAGAAAGTGAGAATGGCGAGGCAAAGGAATTAAAGAACGATCCAAAATTTGAAAATAAGTGGCCAGGAACCAGAACAAAGGTGATAAAAAGGCGACATGCCGACTCACAAACTCTTGCCATTATCAACCCTTCTGGTTTGAATTCATTCAGTATTTTTAAACACATTTAGGTTCATTTATAGTAAGGTTTCATAGTCACTATCAGAACGTTGCTAACGTCGTAACTAACAACATAATAAACACTTATCCAATAGGCGCTTTGTCGTCGAGTTGCGGACACCAGCCCGTTGCACCAAGTACCAAGTACACTTATCCAAATGGAATTTAATAACTTTTTCTTTCTACAGATGTACAGGTACCCTAGGCACACCGCAATGCGTACGTGAAGCGTCGGGTCCACAAATTCTACCACCCATCATCACTGGCAAGATTACTACAAAGAATAAGTTCAGCTTCAAGTATGGCAGGATTGAGGTCAGCGCTCGTATGCCTCTTGGGGATTGGTTGGTACCAGGTAAGCCACAGCCTTAGTTAACTTGGATAGTCAAGTTCAGTACCATTTTTATTACCAGCGAAGGGCTGGGGACCGGGATAAATGGCACGTTGAGCAGGCCCATTTCCAGCAGTGGACTACAATGGTCTCGTGATGATGATAATTACATACATACGCTTCACACCCTTTTCCCCACCGGGGTAGGCAGAGGCCACAGCTTTCCACTTGCTGTGGTCCTGACGCACATCATCATCATTCTGATTACAATTGTGTAAAGGGAAAATATCTTATAACAAAGTTATCGATAAAGGTTCACAATTAAATGATCCACGCATCTCACTCTACGTCAAGTGTTCGATTCCCAGGCCGGGAGAAATATTTGTATGGCCTACATTTATTTCTCTCGTGAGTTTGAGTGTAATTTGTGGTTGTCTATGTGTGTGTCCATAGCACCAGCAAGGGTTTCACCGTTTTTGCTAATGAGTATGATTACTGAAATTATGACAAAGTGCCAACGTTCAAATAGCTTTTCAGTCTTTACTAGAACCCATCATTATAATAGATAAGTTATGGGTTTACTTACTTTATTTTGTTTCAGAAATTCAGCTGGAACCTCGAGATAATGTGTACGGCATCAACAACTACGCGTCGGGCTTGATGCGCATTGCGCTAGTCAAGGGAAATGTGGCGTATTCCAAAAAGCTCTACGGAGGACCTATTATGTGTGACACTGAACCATACAGGTTAGTCAGGATAACAATTTTTATCCTCGGTTAAGACTACAATTTCATTCCGCATGTAGTTTATCTGTCTTTAACAGTAATGGTAATAAATTATCGATTTTATTTAAAATAAAAACTAACAATCGTTTTGATTTAGTAGCAGCAGTAGAGCTCCTTGTGAAAGAGTTCGTCCATGGACTTCCTGCCACCGATTAGCGATTTAGAGCTCTGAGTGGCACTGTAATCATCAGGCGCACGACTTGTACGTCCCGTCACTTGACATTATAAAAAAAATTGTAATCTGTAAGGCTAAAATTTCATTCCGCGTCTATGTAGTTTCTCTGTTTTCAACTGTAACGGTTAATGTAAATGTCCCAATCGTTAACTCTTTTAGACGGAAAATCACGAGTTTTGGCAAAAAAGTACTTAATAGTCAGTCACACTGACTACCTAGGTATGTAAACATTAAAAGTTTTGTCATTTATCTTCTAGGAACTATAAAATTTAAAATAAACTTCGCATTATTAAAATATTCCAGTTTTCCGCAACCTTGTACGAGTGCATGACAGACAAAATCTCTAATGTACCAATGGTTGACTATGGCAAAGTGAGATTAGAGTATTAGGCGATTATCACACTGCACCGCGCCCTGGAGTGCGGGACGCGGAATCACGCGCGCGGTGGCGGAGACGCAGATCTGCGTCACAGCGCGGTTTACTCTGCGCGGGGGCAGCGGTCTTACGGCCCCGCATCACTTAAAGTACTCGCTTCGCAGTTGATCGCCGTAGTGATTGTATATGCAGCCGAGATCCTTCTTTGACAAGAACGGTTAATAATACAGATCTCATTCAGGACCCTGCGGCTATACTGTCTCTTTGGTTTTTATTTACTCAAATAAAAATACACCGAAGATATTGGATAGATCCCTTTTTTTTTCAACCCCAATTTCAACTTCATTACAAAGATTTAAGAAAATATGAAGAAGAAGTTTGGTCGATTTTCAATAGCAAATATAAATTTATCGACGTCGAGATCTATTGTAGAAAACTGAACATGTCCCTAAGCGTAAAAATCTGCGCGGTAGTGCGGAGCGCAATGTGCCATACATACCCTGCGGTTCGCTGCGGCGCGGGGGCGCGGTAAAACCGCGCGGGGCGCGCTCCCGGAGAAGCATTGACAGTGTGTTAGACGGCGCGTGTTTTCCATACAAACTGAGGTACTTCAGTACAATGTTAAAAAACGCAGCTCCGCGCTCCGTCGCGGGACGCGAAGCAGTGTGATAATCGCCTTAGTATTTGACAGGACATTATAAGATTTCATAGTTATTTAACGGTATCGATTACTTTGTAACAATACATTTTAAAAAGAACAAAAGCCAAAATTAAGCTTGATGAAGATGCTTTTATTAAAATTGTCATGTACCTACAATGAGATTACAAAAAAACGTAACACAAAAATGAAACTTTAATGTCGCACGATATCATATTTGCGTAGGTATATTTTCGTGTTGCAGCAATAGGAATCCGTTTAGACACTTTTAACAATCGCCTTCAAATACGTACATCATCTTCGAAATAATGTAACACTTGGTGGCATTATCTCATTGCACATTCTATAACCTATAGTTGACACCTTACAATAATAACGCATAGAATAATAGTTTCATATCAAACGAACTGTCACAAGTGAGGCAAAAATCAAATTCATGTAGGCTAGTTTTAGTAGAAGGTTAATTTTCGGTTTTAGTGAATATTTATATAAAAATACAAGTTGAAACGCGTTACTTCCTTGTGGAATGTGATGCTACTATCTATTTTATGTTTGTCTGACGTATTTTTACACTCATTTACCGCACATTTCGTCATTTTTAGCTAAAACTCTTGAGCAGTTCGCGGTGCAAGTTGACCTTGAGCACTGAAGGCCCGCCCGCTCGTTTAGGCCCTTTGGGCGCGCTTCAATTTGCCTCACTTAGCGTGTGCGGACTAGGTTTCTATGCGTTATTATTCTAAGGTTGACACTAGTTACGTCCTAGTGTGTGTCACCTCAATAATCGACTGTCAAGTATTGGGTCTCCATAGTAAAACAGTCTTTTGACACCTATGTCAAACACTACTCAAACTACCCACAGAAGCTTGTCACTAACAGAGTAATCCAAATCTACGTTCTCCGTTCTTCGCAAAATGTAGATAATAAGTTTAAAAAAAATATTCATTTTTACGAATGCTTGACATGGGTGTCAACTATATAAATACACACAAAATAAATTATTTGTACAGTTATCTAATAGTTTTTATAAACACTTATCGATAATTAACAAAATTCCGACTAATAAACGAATTCAAACTACTCAAAATCTTAACGATTTTTGTAAGAACTCCAACGCGCTTTCACTCAGATCACATGTTCGCAAAAACTGTCGCCATATTGAATAAGAAAACAAATATTGAACTCCGAAATCGAGTTCAATATTTGTTTTTTTATTAAAAAAAATGAAGTGTCATACATTTTAACATTGTCAAAGATTGGTACATTTACCTTAATACATTTTCGATTCTATTTAAAACAATAACAGACAGTCGTTTTGATTGTTTACAGCGTCTCATGTATTTTAATGTCGCTTACTTGTTTTTGCAGGAGCAAACACTTAAAAGAAAACATCGGATATGACCACTGGAACAAAGCCTTTCACAATTACACTTTAATTTGGAGACCTGGTAAGTTAACATCTATAAGTAGTACCTTTATCATACATAGATTCACCATAAAATTGGAAGTGTCTAATATTATGGTGAATCTATGTATGATTCTTCCTTTCTATCACGATCAGATACTAATGAGAAATAATAGATCGATTTCTTACGACACATATCATTTTTCTTAGGGCGCGTTCCCACTATGTCGTGACGACAGATTGTCGTGCAGATTACAGTGTCGTGTCTTGTATATTTAAATGAAGTTTAAATATACAACAGAAGACGATTAACTTATAAAAATATATATATTTATTTATAATAAATTAAATTATGATAAATTGTCGTTCATGATTTTTTATCGTAACAACGACAAACTGTCGTCACAGTGGGAACAGCTAGAACGACAGTCGTCAGACGACAAAAAAAGTCACGATAAAACGCGACGATAGATTGTCGCAGCTCCTAATGTCGTCACGTTTTATTTTATACGTCACGTTATATTTTCTTTTCTTTGTTTGCTTCCTCTTCCGCATTTTTAAAAAGCAATACATTATTAAAATTTCGTCTTCATCCATTTCGAGAGGACACACTACCGGCTTCCAAAAGAACATACAAGCGACTGCAGTGCATCAAACGATTCTGTCGTGCAATCGACCAGGAGGCTGTCGTGAAACGATACATTGTCGTCACGATCTAGTGGGAACAGCTAGTCACGACAGTCGTCCAACGATAATAAAACGTGACGACATAGTGAGAACGCGCCCTTAGACCTGACTTGCAACGGAACAAGATACGTCAACGTGTAGCTTGATGTGCTGGCGTCTACAAATACCTAAAGTAAATACAACATTTGCAAACAGACAATTAAACAAGCGATCTGCCCATTTGCATAATTTCATAAATAAGGAATTAGAAATATACGCCAAAAATTATAGAGACTGCAAGAAACATGTCAAAATGGCTACAGTCCAAATCGTATGAGGAAACCGAAGATCTACTAGAACACTTGCTTTATAAACACTACTGTCCTAATCTATGGCAACAGGTTAACACACACACACACGCGCGCGCGCACGCACGCTCGCACACACACATTCATACACACATCCACATACACTAACACACACATACGTTTTCAGATTCAAAATAAAATTTGAAATTAGAAGTTAAGAATGTTGAAAATTGTTAAAAAATTGTTATCTTTTCACGTTGTTTGGAAATGTAAAAATTAAACACTAAATTAAATATAAGTTAAAAATGTTAAATGTGCATTTATAACTATGGAAGAGCGGTGTCTCCTGACACAGGCTTGATAAGCTTAATAGGAGGTACCATCCACAGTTAATATAAAGTTAATTGTATTACGGAAATAGATATTTATGATATTATATTATATATATTATTATATTATGTAATCGCGCGTTTACGTCGATGCAGTCGCGCGTTTGCATCGATGCAATCGTCTATAAATCGCAAGTGTAGCTGCTAAAAGTCGCGGTATTAAAACCACTCAAGTCAGGACTTGAGTATGATTTCAAGCACTGGAAATACGACCCTAATGGCAAAGACTTGAGTATGATTTCTAGTGTTTTAAATCATATTCAAGTCCTGACTTAAGCATTGAGTAGAGTTCTGGAATACGACCCTAATGTCCACTTGCACTGAACTTAAGTATGTCTTAAACCAATGCTTAAATTGATAAGACACTCTTAACACAATGTATTAAGAGTGTCTTTTGCATTGCAATTATTGGTTTAAGCCGCACCTAGGTTTAGTGCAAGTGGACATAAGAGTAGCTGGCAGACGCTTATAGACACTCATATATCTGCACTTAAGTTCGCTACATTTCCTTTTTATGAATTCCAGCCAGTATATCCGTGTTCGTGGACGGAGAGCAGTATGGGGAGGTGACGCCTGGCGAAGGCTTTGCAGCTGATGCAAGCAAAGATGGTGTGCAGGCGGCGCCACAATGGCTCAAGGGCAGCGTTATGGCTCCTTTTGACGAGTTTGTAAGTTTTTCTTCTGCACATACTACCTTTTGGTCCATCGACTACAGGCGGACGTTCGTGTGACCAAAGTCTAACTATAACTCTTTTCATATTTGGTTGATTTCAGAATCCCGCTGAGCTTGTCAGATATTTTTTAAATTTATATAATCTATGAAATACTATGTCAATATCAAGAGCTAATTATTAATTAATCAGGTGGTATTGGCTGGTTTTACTAGCTTCATTGTTAAGTATGAAAAGAAATCGAAAAATACCCATCAAGCACTTGGCTTTGCTGTCCACACGCGCGCAAATCAGAGTCAAAGTCAAAATGAGTTATCCATTTCGAAAAATGTATAAATAAAATCTAATATTACTTACAAGTACTTCTTAAGTAATTGGTATTGATAACAAAAATGTATTCTTCCAGTTCTACGTCGCAATCGGGCTTAATGTTGGCGGAGTGCATGATTTCGAAGACGAGCCAAGCAAGCCGTGGATGAACCGAGCCACAAAAGCCATGCTCAACTTCTGGAACGCGCAGAACCAATGGCGGTCAACATGGTATGATGATACCAGCTCGCTGAAGGTCGATTACGTTAGGGTCTATGCACTGTAAAAAGGATTGAAGTGGTAGTTATGCAATCAGTGCCGGCTTTGCCTATGGTGCAAGGTGTTCAGAACGCCTCTCGCGACGCCTCCAAACGGGCTGTTGCTTCACAACATTTATAATTTGCACCCGAATTTCCGATCACTGGAGTAAGTATTACATTTCGACCTGCCTACTAGAGGACGCCATAGATAATTCATTGCACCCGGGCACCACATGGGTTAACGCCAGAGCTGTTTGCAACCTCAAAATATACCTGCCATAATAAAAAAATATATTTAGTTGAGTATCGATTTTTTTTTATTAGATTGCTGAGCAAAGGCTTCTCCTCTCTCCTGTTTGACACATTCTTAGGCCAGTCTGTTATATTCGCGTCCAAATTATATATCTCCTTAGTCTGCTCCAGCAATTTTAAATAGAAAACCACCGTGAGGCTCAGACATATTAACAAACTAACGGATAACTCATGTATAGTCGAATTTTTGATGGACATAATTATTGTTTCAAACAAGTCCGTGGTCATTACTCGTGAGATTGCACGGCGGTGCCAAAAATATTTTGCTACTTTGGAGTGCAAAAATTTTAGTCGCACTGTTACATTATCTATGATGGTGTTTCATATCATCGGTAAGTTTTATTTTATTTTTTTTAATTTTCAATTCTCTAATTGTAGTGTTTTTTTATTACGAGAAATGAAAGTAAACCATGAGGTAAACGGTAAGAATCGCTGTAATGTGGTCGCTTCTTTTTTGGAGAACTAAGCATAAGTCAAAACATCTCGAATCCGTCGTCGTTCAGGGGGGGGGCAACCTCTTCTTATAACAATATTACTTTTATTACCTTACATTGACTTTTCGTACCATAACGCGCTAAAAGTAAGCTTATTGTAATTTTAAAACTATGATGTTTTATTGACAGCTTTGTGACTATTCATTCACTCAGTTCGTACTATGACGCGACTTTAACATTAAAGTAATATTGCTCTTATGTCAAATTTAGCAATTTTAAAATAGATACACGCATGCAATGGAAACAATATTATTTTCAGTTTTCTTGTCTTCATATTGATTTGTAATGATTAAAAGTTAAGTTGAACTTATTTATTTACATATATCTCTTCAATATTTTGTTCATTTTTTATTTAATAGCACATAGTAAATAATTTTTCGTTAAATAAAAATACGCCATGTTTATTTTGTAAAATTATAACAGCGCCATCTATATGCTCCTTGGCGAAACTAACAGTTGACACTAGACTATAGTTCCGAATTCACAACGTGGCAATCAAGGCTCAGCTTGTTTTATTTATTTTTCTCTATGAAAATGCGGAATAATTGTTGAAAACAACGTAATTTTAATAGATTTTGTTATCACATACTTTTCTTTTCTTAACAGTCAAAATTATCTGAATGTAAATAACATTAAGCACTTAAACATTATACTGCGATAAGACGATTCGGAGCATCAAAAAAGAAAGAGATGGCGTTTTCGAATTCACATAGCGTTATCTCTTTCCTATTTTTAGTAAGGAATAGACAATATTGGGAAATCATTCGTTCATTCAATCACTTTTGCAATAATACATTACTTGGTTGACAGGTTCGTCATGGTACGAATATGAGTAATATTATAATAGCTTACTTTATGCTTACATTGAAATAAGATTGTTTTTGGAAAGGTTATGGTAGGCCCCAAGGTATTGCAAGATGGCAGCACAATGATTGAAATTTGAATATGCAATCAAAACATATTGAACTTTTAACGATATGCCAACAAGGCAATATTTAAATTATATTAATAATAATAATAATAATAATAATGTTTATTGTCACAAAAATAGTACAACATTATAATGAAGTCCCTGACTCCAGAGCTAGGTTACAAACCTGTGTGACTGGAGGCAGTGTCCTCTCTCAAATTTTGACAAATTTAGTCTATTTCATTACAATAGGTACAAACAAAAGATTAAAATATGGTAGGTAAACTATCTAACTTAACATTTCCATGCACATTGTAAAGTTTATATATATATATATAGTGTGTGTGTGTGTGTGTGTGTGTGTGTGTGTGTGTGTGTGTGTGTG